AAAATAATATTTTAAATATTGACCGTTAAACCAGGTATATATATTTATTTATAAGATTATATATAACATGGTCCAGTAGGGATCCTATGCATCAACTCATTCATATACAAATTTCAGGGCAGGATGTTTGTGTATACGTTTTGAAAAATATTGAAATGTTTTATGTAATAAATAATAAAATTAGTACATTGTTTATAATTATAAAAATACATAATAATTATTCATTTATACGATATACACATATTCATATAAATAATTTATTTGGTATATACATATGCATAAGATGCATAAGTACATAAAAACAAAAAAAAATCTTTATTTATTTATATATACGTATATATACCATATAAATGAATGGTCATTAACGTGTTCTTCAATTTTATATTTATTTAAGGTTTTTCTTGGACATATCTCACACGGGCACTCTCTCTCTCCCTCTATATATGTGTATATTAAAATAATTGTTAATTTATAAATATGAGAATAATTAAAAAGAATCTGGATTTTTGGACTTTAGAATTAATGAAATAGAATAGCGCATGATTGAGACACTTGCGGAGATCAATTGGGTGGGAGATTCAATTAAAGGGAAGATCAATAATTAATTTCCTTTTTTTCTCTTATTAAATGATGTCTTATTAATTAATATAAAATATGAAATTAAATATTTTTCAGATGTATTTGTAAAATCAATATCTTTAACATATATAATAACATTAGTGAATGATTATGTGAGAAAGAGAGTTAAGCCGAAAAGCATAAAAAAATATATGGATTCTTGATCACCATTTAATCTCAAATCCACCAATGAATCATGTTTAATACAGAGATTGATCTGGTGCATCTTATCTTAATTTGGATCTAAAGATAGAGATCATTTCTTATACTTTACATGTTGACTCTCTTCTACAGGAACCCACCTTACTAGTATTTTGATACAGTTGATGATGTCACAAAATTAAAACAACTTCGATGATGTAAGTGAACTTATATAAACATTAATGCACCATCAAAACTCAATAACACAAACTTTAGATCCATCAATTTGGACTCTTTTTTAAACAAATGCAATCTATGTTATCTTCATACGTGTTACTTGGGTCCATTTTTTGCTTAAGACGCATGGAATTGGCTAAGCATTTTATTTGAACAAATATATGAGACACCTATTTTCATTAAAACACAAGAAAAAGGAGAATATTTGTGTATATATGTATGTGTGTTCCTGTTTCTTTATGTGCGTGCGCACACACACACATATATATATATATATATATATATATAAATAAAAGTTGTTTGAGGTGCAGAAGTTGATTGGAAAACTGGAGGCGTAATCAGCGTAGAAGTCGGAGCACATGAGTTTGATCCAATGCACAGTGAGGACTGTACTCACAGTCACGAGGAACCCTAATTTAATAAATTATATATATGTGAGGGAGCATATGCTAAAGTGATACTCTTACTTATATTCATAAGACAATACCAATTTGATGATTTAGATCTTCAATGCAGATATATAATTGCATGAACGTGTCTTGTTACAGTCTTAATGTTTGATTTATATGTAAAGAAGCATTCTGATAATTTAATATCGATATTCTCTTAGATACGCCCTACTGTCACCTCGACTACCTAGCTAGCATCGGTTTCATTATATATTAGTTGCACCCATTTCATGCATGCAAAAATCCAAACCAAATCATCCATCTCAATATTATATATACATATATATAGATATAGAAATATATATAGAGAGAAAGAGAGAGAGAGAGAGAGAGAAGAAGAAGAAGAAGTTGGAAAGGAGGGTGGATGCACGTGTGTAGAGATTTAAAAAACAACAGCAGCAGCATCTTCTCTTCTCTCCATGAATATTCAAATGTGTTTGCAGCAGGAATCGAGGTGGGGGTGCAGTGGGAGGTGGATTCGTTTTGTCCATATATTTTTTAATCTTTCCGATACCCATAGGATTCAACATAACCACTCCCTAAATACATATAATATATCTATCTTATCACCATCCATAAGATCATTTACATGAGGGACTTAATGGTGTGCACACCATTTGGATCACATCACACATGTAGGGACGGATTTGGTGTATTGGATACCGTGACACGGGTTACTGTTTTGTTCCTCCGTCGTAATCTAAAAAATTATAGGGTTCTGAAAATTGTCATCCTATTAATTTGTTGCGTACCTCTGTATATATTTGAAACTATAATAAGCACGCAAGTTTCCCTTAAGAATTGGTTTGCAAGAATTTTCTTCCACCGTAGACCCAAGTTTGAATTTCGTTAGTGTCATTTTTCTTAGTTTTTTAGCTTTTTATTTTCAAATTTATTATGTTTTCGGAAAACATTTGCAATAAAAAAAACTTGAATACATAACCTCATTCTTGAAAAATAATGAACTAACCAAAATGATGATTGTGTGAAAAATATCGTTATATTTATTTTTTGTAGTCAAATTGTGTCATCGCTTGAAAAATTTATAGATCCGTCTCTACACACATCAACACATAGATTATAGTATCACATTGGAAATACTCTTATATATTACATGTGATAATATACACGTAAGGCACTAATGGTGTGTAGTCGACTTTTGCCTATAACCTAGGTTGCGCTAAAGGTCGCTTGTGTTTTTTATTTAGTATCACATGTGTATCTTATATGGTAGACGTTAGCATCACATTATATTGACTTTATAACATAATGTTTTCGTGTTTTCTTAAAATAAAGGTGTTATCTTTTGAAGCTTATAGCTTTCTTATATGTACATATACGTGTGTGTATATATATATACATATATATATATATATGTCATATAACTGTTTTTTGGAAACCCCAATTCATCTAAACAAAGCTAGCAAGGGGCTAGCGAGAAGACATGCATGTTATATAATATTGTAATATGATGACGTGGTTTATTGTTAACTTCTAATTCGTCTTCCAAGTCAGACATGCAAAATATAAAGAAGGTCCATGAAGCGATGGTAGTGTCTCTTGGATACGAGTTATATATATGTATATATATGGTATATGTATGTAACATTAATTAGGGTTTGACCCTGCAGGTACCAGCTGCTTCACCTTGGATGCTTGGTTTTTCTCTTATGGACTCCCATGTGAATGTCTGTTGGCCATTGCTACGGGGTATATATATTATTAATTAATTGGGATTATTGGATGTTCAAATTCATATATGGCAACGGTACTAACACATCGGCCAAAGGAAAAGAAATATATACATACATATATATGTATTCATATGTACTTAATTGGTTGTTTTCAGCTTATTGTTGAATTTTGTATATTTGCACTTTGGGTGAGTTACAAATTAAAGACAACCTTCGGTACATGGTTAATTCACAACATGCAACCGTGCGAGCATGAAGTCGCATAGGCAAGTGATCATTGGTGGCGGAGTAGAACATTTTTTGGGCTACTCATCGATGTTCTACCGAACTGAACTAATAATGGTTTATCATTTAGAAAGAATGGCGAAAGAGGCCTCCTTGCATTTCCCAACTCGCTTTGGGGGAAAACGTATTAGTAGCTTATATGCCATGGGAAGGTTACACCCGTCCGCCACTGAAACACCACTTCCCGTCCGACTTGCATGAATTTTTCATGTTAGATCTTGTATCGATCATTTGGGAACTCGTTGTACCTTTTATTTATTTATTAAATACCTCAACTAATGTTTGTTATAGATGTACACTATATATACATACATACATACATATATATATATATATATGTATATTTATTGATGTTTTAATTATTGTGTGTTACTCGTGCTTGAATTGCTTTCATGGTATTTCATGATTGTAATACTTTTCTTTGGTTTTTTTTACTAAACTAGCTCATAATTTGTTTTGGGGAATTTATTTCGTTCACTAACGAATTTTAGTTTCTATTCCAACATTTTAAGAAAATGAACGAACAATAATAAATGAATGCTAAAAAATAACAAGTTGTAGTTGTTGGCTAGGAAACCTGTGGGAACAGGTAACAACCAGGGGTGACATCGAGTCACTGATTCACAAGTAAAGGTAAAAGGGACGTCGATGCATGTGCGTTGACATGATGAATGCCGTTCTCTAATTGATATTGGTCAATTCTTTTATACACAGTCACTTCTCCTTCAAGTTCTCGGGAGCATTAGTTAATCACCATCCAATGTTTGGGCCCGGATCAGGATGGACGGGGTCGTGCTTTGACTTTGTCTGATTGGTTGGATCTTCTGGGCCATAACTTGGTTGACATCTACAGGCCTAACCTCAATTATGGAGCCATTATATATTATGATTCAACCCAAACATAATTTATTCTAATTTCACTACAAGAAAAATAACCTTTAGAGAATGTTCTGTTTTGTATTTAAAATTCTTAAAAGCTTCTCTAAAGGCTTTAGAGAAGCTTTTCATTTCCGTCAAAAAGCTTCTCTATGTAAGGGTAGGTAAAAGTTTTAGGGACGGTTTTCGGAGGGTATGTTTTTGGTAGCTTTTAGAGACACTTTTTTAGGGCTTTAGATACAATTCAAAACTTCTCTAAAAGTTAGTTAATTTTTTTATAAAAGCTTCTCTAAATGTATTTATTAGTGACACTTTTCAAGTATTGATGACAGWTTACAAACGTCTCTAAAAATTGCTTTCAGAGAAGGTTTACAAAAAAGCTTCTGTAAAGATATTTGCATTAGTGACATTTTACCTAAACTTTCTCTGAAGATGTCCTTTAGTTACACTCTACAAACYTTCTCAAAAGATTATCTTTAGATACAAATAATCAAAACCTTCTCTAAATCTCATCTCTAGATACACTTTTAAAAAATCAATTCCTTCTCTAAAGGGCATGTTATTATTACTTTTCGTTCATATTTAAGATCTATATTTGTATATAATTATATATTATGTTAATCAACAAAAACAACATAAAAATCTCAATGCAATAAATTGATATAAATTTATAATATGAAAAAAAAAAAGTTCTCAAAACAATCCCCAACATTCAATCAATCTATAAATCCATTTTCTAACATCCGTCCTAAACTCCTCGCAAAACTWGATACTCTACCAATCACCTGTCATCTCTTTTCTAACTTTTTTATAGTCTGTCCGAGTAGAACCACGTTTGTTACTTTGCACAGATGACGAAGCCTCGTCTAATTGCAAGGTGTCTGCAAAGGWGTTAGCCATAATGCAATAATTTCATGTGAACCGGTAACTGTGACAATTTCCCTCTTTATCTACAACAAGTCAATAAGCCATCAAAACATTTCATTAGCAAAATGAATATTTAAAACCTACATATGATTTCAAGTTTAACATTTTCCAATTTACGCATCATAAAACAGAAGAATATATTAAACCTGCAGTTATCCTTTTTATACAAAGTCGGCAGACTCCTCAAACAGAATATATGAGCAACAACGCCATCATAATCACACTTGCTTAAAACCTGAAGGAAAATGGTAGAACATTAGTCAAAGTATTAGTGTGTTTCAAACGAAAATCGAACCTAATAAATAGATCGTTACAAGTAAAAAGTGTGTAATGATTTCAACAACGACAGTCCAAGAATACTCAAAAAGCATTGGCCAGGACTTACAATTTATGAGTGCTCAAGCCAATCTACCTATAACCTGTATATCGTTGGGTCAAAGACCCTTTGGTCCATTTACTTAGTTCAAAGCGCACATATGCCGATTGGTTTTCATGAATGGAATAAATACCTGTAGTTTATCTCCCGAAGGATCCGATGGACATCTCGGCTCGTTCATCAATTCCCAAGCAAAAATAGTGGGATCGTCTTTGTAGGTCATGTTGGTTACGGTATTCACTCTATTCAGCACCGTCTACACACCCAATAAACCATGTCAACATATCAAATGACTACATGTAACATTGTTTTTGTAAAAAGATTGTTTTTAACAATTGGGACAACTGTACTAAGATAAGTGGTCCCCACATGTTGCCTTAGAGGTAAGATGGTAGGCATCCATAAAGGGCAGAGAAGTAGAACGTGCAGTCCAAACGGGTAGAGAAGTAGAACATGACTGCTGCCTCGCCCTTTTGCTGCTGGACAGCTTCTTCACGGGCTGCTGTTTGGCCGCAGCAGCTGTTTGGACACCTGCTGTTTGGCGACAGCTGCTGTTTGGCGACAGCTGCTGTTTGGCGACAGCTGCTGTTTGGACAGTTGCTGTTTGGACATAGTTGATCTTAAATAAGATTTTCTTGCTGTAGAATAAAAGCAATCTACACACACAGAAAGAGGTATCAAAATGCAATCATTTAGCTTAAGAACCGTAAATACATCACAAGGTTCAAATGYCATTTTAGAGAAAAACAAGATCAACAAACCGGAACGATAATGAAATTAAATTGATGTTCAAGTGGATCCAATGACCCAAACTGCATGCATAACCATCTTACACAAATGAAATTATACTATTTAGATAGCCGCATAATTAATATCAAAATAATAGGCTTAAAAGGTTGCACAAAATWGCAGGACAAAACAGTTGAAACAAAACAATAGGACAAAACAATTTACTGTTGAAAAAAAAACAGCAGGACAAAACAGTTTACGGTTGAAACAAAACAGCATGGGTATGTATGCATTGCAACAACAGGCACACAGGGGTACGTATGCATTGTAGCAGGCACAGGGGTATGTATGTGCACACAGGGRTATGTATGTATGCATTGCAACAGCAGGCACACAGATACATTCAAGCATGGTTATTYACTACATTATTGCACCAAAGAAGGTAGATCTTGATAATGGACAGATTAATGTATCTCATGGTACCATAAGTTTGAAAGGGACATGATGAACATATTATACCTAAAAACAGGTATTTATGTATATATAGATTTATATATATACAACGGTAAGTATTGGGTATGTATGTTACTGTTTCTCTTTAAATAGCAACATGTAAATATCCTTGAGGCTTTGATAAAAAAAAAACCAAAGAGAGGCATCATCCAAGGAGAAAGGGAAAATGGAAGCATAGATAGACCAAAGAGAAAGTATCATTGTGGTAGAATGTGGGCCAGATCAAAGACCAACAACCCAGGCACCACAGAATGAGTTGGTTATTGAACCAATAGTTCAACAGGTTTGAGAAGATGTTTAAGGAGCAATTCAACAGGGYTGTTTAGTTGTTATTTTCTGCACAAGATGATTACTTGAGAAGATGTTTAAGTAGGACACCATTAAAATGTATGGTTTTCTCTAAGTGGTCGTTTATCAAATGCTTACTTGAGTAAGTGCTTACTAAGTTATATTACCTTACCAGATGAATATGGTAAGAACAAAAAATCTTACCCGGTAAGAACGAGGCAAGGACTGAGAGTCTTACCCGGTAAGTGAGGGCAATGGCTCTTACCACGGTAGAATAAGTCTTGTTGCTGCCTCGTCTCTTAAGATTTCAGGAAACAAATCATTCTTTAAACCTTTAATATATTCAACATAAGGTAGAATAAGGGGACATGTTTCATATCACATATAACATATCAAGAGTTGCTGGATAAATCTACACTCCCTCCATTACTAAAAAATCCTTCTGAAGATCAAATGAGTTGCTATTTAACAGTGAATCGAGCAAAAACTTATAAACACTAAAACGAAACAAAAAATTGAGCTGAAAATCTATACAATAACAATAAACATCTTACATCATCRTTCATCAGAATCAACCATCGGTAAGATGCAAACTGAACTAGATCAAAAACTGAACTAGATCAAGAACTTCATTCACAATAGGAAAAATCAATACTCCATCTAAATCAATAGAAGACCGTTATGCAGAAAATGATTTATAACAAGAGGAACAACAATTGCATGCTCTAAACCAAACCAAAGCCAATATTACCCTCTCAAGGTCATGCTGGGGGGGGGGGCAGAAAGTGGTTGTGATTAACAGCTTAAAGTGGGCTTCAACTTAGGCATGTTCATGTGGTTTAAATCAAAATAGGCATGTTATGTTCAAAAGGATTACAACAGCTTCAACTCATGAACCAAACAATGTAGTTGTGCCACCTGAGAGCTACTCAGTGGAGTTTAACCAATCACTTGGTCCTAGTTACATTAATCCATAGCCACTACATGTGGCACCATACCATGATTACAACTGGGGTTTTCATGAACTTGGCCATCGTATGAATAGCAAGCAGCCTAAAGCACTAAAACAGAAAAAATGAGTCTTTGTACTTATGGTTGATCTGTTCTAGTTTTCTTATTGATTTGTGCAAGTCTTTATTATGCTTAAGATTTCACTTTGCTAGTTATGAAGAGAGCTAGTAAGCTGATCATATAATTCTTTGACAACAACTCTAATAGAATAAGAAGAAAAACAGTGGTCACTGCATGTTTGACTGTTTAACATATTGGAGTCCCTAAACATGGATACTATCATAGGAGTATTAAATACACAAGGCTAATGGAAAAAATGAAATAGAGGATTCTGTTCCAGGTGCCCACAACTGTTGCTAGATTAAGTTTAAGAAGAAAAGCAAAAAATTGCATCACCCAAGACAGAGAGATTGCCTTGATCATTAACTTCAAAATTGACATCAAGAAAGATATATATATATATATATATTATATATATATATATATATATATAGTTCACCTTTATATGTAGTTTACCTTCATATCTAGTGATGAAAACACTTGGATCATCCGATGCTCTTTCCACATGTTTCCGAACATTGCACTTAACACCAGTGCATCTGTAGTAACTTCTGCATTTAAACACAACATTTTCGGATGTTAGACTTAATCTCCAAAGATATATATATATATATATATATATATATATATATATATATATAACTTGAACAACAAATGACGCATCTAAAGTCTAAACCAAGCGAAACGAATCCAGTATGTCCCGCTTGGAAGTGGGGTTGAGGTAAGACGTATGCAAACTTGACCACGTATCTAATGTATATCTAATGAAGGATATATAAATATCTGACCTTGGATAAGGATTTCCCTTCACAACTTTCTGCCCATATTTTCTCCACCGGAAACAATCTGATGCAAGAGCCTTAAACTTGGTTATGCCCATATATCTAAGACTTAAAACACAGTTGAACAATTCAACATCCTTAAACTTGAATGCAAGAGCATGGTTATATGATCTGTAAGTCAAAAACAAAAACTGGCTCAAATTTCCAAATACCACCAGAAAGAAAAAAAGACTTACCCGTAAGACCTGTTTTCATCCCCAACAAACTGAATGTTGGAATTGGGTATGTGAAAACTCATCTCAACCAATGAATCTGTCTGCATTAACAAGAAAGAACTTAATAAAAAATAAAGTCTAGAACTCCACTTATGCATTAACTGTGAAAAATATGTGAACTTTAAGTTGCCAAGACCATATTCCAAAAGCTCAAAATAAAGCACATATAATCATATGTTGATCCAATGATAAAAGAGTCATGTATGTATATATAGTTACATATTATATTTAACCAAAAAATGATATCTAAAAGCTCAAAATAAGTACATATAATCATATATTATACTAAAYCGTAGCTTTTGAGTCTGTTTTCAAGTACAGGAGGAAGGAAATTAAATGATGAACATTATCAAAAATCCTAATTCATYAGTAGAAGGAAATTTTCHARAATAAGATTCTTTGATGATCAATTGTAATAAACCAGAGCCACCGAATACAAATCAGTCAATCATGTAACCAAAGCAAACCTAATTTTACATTATAAACATAACAAGGCAAACCAAGTAGTAGAAATTTTACATTACAAACATAACAAGGCAAACCAAGTAGTAGAAATGAAAATGAAGATACGAAGACAAACTCAAAGTCGCTTACGATGAATCCTCAAGCCGTAAACCGAAGTCGCCTACCATAACTCGATGAATCCACAAGCCCTAAACCGAAGTCGCCTACCGTAACTTGATGAATCCACAATCCCTAAAMCGAAGTCGCCTACCGTAACTTGATGAATCTTCAAGCCCTAAATCGAACATATGAGACAAATTGAACTCAAACTCGATCAAGAAACGAAATCTAAGATCGAAGTAGGAAATTTGATTTATCAAGTAGGAAATTTTTGAAGTACAGGACTCGTATCTCCTCTCAGACTCTCCTTTTGATTTTCAATAATATTTTTATTATATAAATTTGATTTATCAAAAATAGAGAAGCTTTACATACGCTTTTAAAAATTATAAAAAAAAGTAACTAAAACCTTTTGTTTAATTTTAAAATAAAAATAAAAATACTTTGTTCTTTAGCGACAATATCGAAAGTGTTTCTAAAGCTTTTGAGTCGATTTTTAGAGACGTTTTATATAAGAAGCGTCTCTAAAAGCTTTAGGACCAATATACATAGCATATTATTAGGTTTGAAATCTTTCTCTGAAAGTCGTTTTATCTTCAGGTACATTTTTCACTTTTGTCATGTATTTCCTTTCCTAAACAACACCTTTAGATACACTTCCAAATCCTTCTCTAAAACTTCCTTCTCTAAAATCCATTTTCCTTGTAGTGTTTGTTTCGCATCCACTTGTAAGGTTTGAGTCGTGTATTCATGTTCATATTGGAGACTACGATGTTTGTTTGTTTGATTTAGGCATCCCCAACACTTTTGTATGCCGTTCATCGTAGAATTCGATAGATGGTATTCGTACTGTAGGAAGCAAAACCTAACCAAAACAATTAATGAAAAAGCGATAGTAGTAATGAAAGTGGAAGGAGTAAAGAGCATATATATAAGTAGCTATTTTTTTGAATTTCTAAAAGAATACAATGTCGTCTTTTTAATAATGAAAAACGATCATTAATCACACAAGATATTAGAATTTGATATTGATCATTTTACATAAATTCGTTAGCCCTGCCCTTGAAACCAGGTACTTAAATCCTCAATATTTGTATTTCCAATATCTTCTGTAAAGCTGAGTTGAGTTGAGTTTCAAGGAAGGCTATTGAGATAATCCTTGGAGAGAAAAACAATATTGCATTGTGTTAAGTTATGCTGTTAATTGTAGCGCTATAGCGGTTATCGGTCATAAGCAATGCCGATATTCGATAATAGCGGTGGAAATTGCTGTTTCGATAATAGCGGTGCAATTTACCGCTATTTCACCAATATTTGAGGTAAAATAGAAGTCCACAAATACGGATATTTTCAGTTGGGTCTCTTTGGAATCTAATGCTTACATTTTTGTCTGTTTTTGGGTTTTTATTTTGACTTAAGCTTTTATTTTGTTTGGGCCCTTATTTTATTTTAATCCATTAACAGTCGACGAATATCATCCAACATCCGGTTTAGAAATTCTTAGAATCTCGGGTTTTCAATTTCTTTCTATCATCGTCAACAGTCAACTTTCTATCATCGTCAACAGTCAACTTTCTTCGACACTATTCGAGGTTTCTAGCATCATTTATGAACACTTTTCCTATTTGGTTTTGTGAAAACTTGTTTAAGTTGATGTTTTGTTGTTGAAACTATATTTTTAATTAATGGCATATAATATGTTTATGTATCCATACATATTATATATATATATGTGTGTGTGTGTGTATATATATGTATATTTTCTAAGAAATATTATATGAACTGCTATTTTTGGACTGCTATACCACCGTGATAAGCGCTATTTCAAATATCAGGTCTGACCGCTCTTTTGTACTTTGACTACTGTAATAGCATAGCCTCTAAGTCCATGTTATTATGTGCTTCTTTCATATTATATATATATATATATATATATATATATATATATATTTCTAAGAAATATTATTATGAACCTCTATTTTTTGATTTCTATACCACTGTGATAACCGTTATTTCAAATATCAGTTCTGGCCGCTATTTTGTATTTTGACTATTGTAACAACATAGTCTTTAAGTCCATGTTGTTATTATGTGCTTCTGTCATTGTTTGTTCTTTGTTGGATGACATATATACGCAGACTAGTTAAGACGGGACGAGACAAAAAAACATTAGTCCCATGTTTGATGTGTCATGGAACAGAAGTGAGACAAAATAAAACATGGGGAAAAAAATGAGATTTAATGGGATAGAACTTAAAAAATTTTGTTCTACCAAAATAGATGGAACAACATAGGACTAAATAACAATTACAAAACTACCTTTTTTATGCATCTGATTACAAACCCTAATTTGTATCCAATAGTTCATCTCTCTCTCTCTCTCTCCCTCTCCTCGCTCTCTATTAGCGATTTCAGGTATGAACAAGGCAATTACATATATTGGTTTGGATTTTGATGATTTGGGTTTGTTTATTTTGGTGAGTACTGATTTTGTATTCTTTGAAATAGATTTATGCGTTGTTTGGTTGTTACTAAAATTTATGTGTTTTGGTTCTGTGAATATTACCGTTTGCTTACCATATGAACTTGGATTTCGATTTTGTTGTTTTGCCTACTTTGTTCCCTTTGTGTTTTGCCTATACATATAAGCCTATCATCACAGCTTGTATGCCAGGTGTTTGTAAAAATATCTGACTTGTCTGATTCTCCCTCATCTTCTTTACGATTAAAACCACATCATTTTAACCGATATAAACTTAACAAATCATACATCCTAAAGTAAATAAATAGATGAACTTGAAAATTTATGAGAGTGAAGTCAAATCCTAACCCACAATCAATATACATAAAGCCCAAAGACATCAATTTTCTGAAGCCCAATATACATGTATAATATCAATTTTGATTTGTGCCTGAGTGGGAGTGGGTGTTTATGATTGCTTATAAAAGCTGTTTTTTAATTTATTTCAGTCTGACATCGATGATAAGTTGTTTTTTTGTGTTTGAATAAGAAAAAAAGAATTGTTTATACCGGTGCCAAACCGGCAATAAACTATTTTTGATAAGTTAATCATTCCTAACTTATGAAAAATTATTTATTACCAGTTTACAATTTTAATCTTATCTATACTATCTTATAAAGCATTTGGCTAAAACTCTTAAAAACTCTTAAAACTCTTAAAAACTCTTAAACTCGTTCATCCCTAAA